CCGGCTCCCTCCCGGGGGCGTCCCCGGGGACGGCGTCCTCCCCGTCCCGAGTGGCAGAGTTTCCGGCTGCGGTGGAGGAGGCGGGGAGGGGTGCAGAGGAACCGGGAGAGGCGGAGGCCCGTCGGTGGGCGGGTCGCATTACGCAGTTTCCGGTGCGGTCGGTGGTGAAGGTGACGGGGTTGGGTAACCGGCCGAGTGGTCCGGGAGCGGCGGGGCCGGTGCGTGGCTTGGGTGCAGCGTTGTCCGGCGGACCGGGGTCGAGTGTGGCGCAGTGTCTGAAGGACTACGGGCAGGAGTTTGCAGACCCGGCTCCCGTGCACTGGTCGAAGGCCCCCGCGTGGGAGAGCTACCGTCCGGGCCGGCGGTTGTCTGCAGAGCGACGGGCGAATTCGGCGCAAACCTTCGACGCACTTCCACGCGGTCGCAAACAACTCGGGCGCAGCTTCGGACCCGTCTCGCTCGACTACCCGCTTCCCGCCAAACGCGACCAGATCTGGACCGGCGTCGTCGAACGCACACGCCCCGGCGGACAGGTCATGCGCAGCTCACTCAGCGTCGCAGACGGCATGCTCGCACCACTCGTCGAACACGACCTCGCACTGCGTCCAGCGCGCGCACAAAACGATTCTGCGCGGCACACGCTCTTCCACAACCACCAACTCGACCTCCGCTCGGACTCCGGCGGCCGCGGCCGTGCCGGCGAGCGCGCCGCCCGACACATGTGTGCACGTGGCCGGAACGCCAGCCAACCTGCCGGCGAGGGCGGCTGGCTCGTTGACCAGTCCGCGCGAGAGGCTGCGCGCGAGGCCGCCACCAAGGAAGCTGCCGCCCGAGCGGCAGCCGAGGCCGAAACGGCGGCGGCCAGAGAGGCGCTGGAGTGCTCCTACCTGCCCGACGGCTGGTACTGCTACGGACCGCCGCTGAACGTCAAGTACGCCGGCGACGCGGGCGGCGGCGACCGCGACCAGTACATCGCGCAGCCGGGAAGATTCGCACAGCCGCAGGACGCGCGCACGGCGGCCTTGGAACGCGCGCGAGAAGAATGCTGCAACTGCCGCGACGGCTACTTCGCCAGACCCGCCCGTTTCCGCGCCTCCGGCTCCCTCTCGCTGCAGCCTGCTCCGACACACGCGAAACTGCGCGCAGAACAAGCCGCGAGACAACCCTTCACCGGACTCACCAGGGCCGCACGAGACGCACAGGACATCAGGCCCCCTAAAGCCGTCCATGACCTCAAACACGACGCAGCCAAGACACCCAACCAAGTCCACCAGAACCAAGACAACAATAAAACCCAAGATACCAACCAAGACGCCGGGAACGACCACTCCCAAGACGACGCGAATGATAAGCGGCGAACGAATGCTACAGAGCCACGCTCGCGACCACCACCCCCGCACGCCGAACCACCGTCGCTTGAAGACGTACCCGTCGCCCCCGCGGAGCACCCTCCCACGGCGGGAAACCCTTCCTCTGCTGGAGTAAGGAAACTGACAGAATACGGCAGCGACCGGGATGCCAAGAACGCCACCGGGGTCGCGGCCAAGGGCGCCATGTACTCTGGCCTATCCGCCGTCGAACCGAGCGGCCTGGACGCAGGGATCTATGTGGGGCCGTCACTAATTGAGAGACGTGCGGCGCACAAACCCGAGTTTGGCACAGCCGGTGAGAATCGTGGGAGTCACGAAGAATATAGTGTTTTTAAGGATGTAAATCCACAGGACTTGATTGATCCCGACCGGAGACTATTGGAGCACGGGTTGCACCTCCAAGGACTGAACCTATCGGATGCAAAGGATGCCACGCGTGCCTTCATGAAAAGTTTCCAGGCCCCAGAGACCGTGCTCCACGCGTCGTTTGACGACGCCATGAATACGACCCACCCAGCTAACCTAAACGACGTGGATCTATACAAGGCACGGTTTGAGGATAACTCGCCGGCAGCGCGCGAGTTGCGGCGGCAGATGAACCAGCTACCTCATCACGACTTCGTGAAACAGCGGTCTGGTCACCTGGCCTACACCGGGGCGGCAGACCACGAAGCGGTACAAACGGACGCACACGGCGAGTCCAAGAAGACCTTCGCAGCCTTGGCCAAACCGGTCGGAAGCGCCGCCACTCGGACGGTGCCCGCTGCTGCACTACGGGAGGACGCCGAATCCCGAGAGGGTGTGAGTGCACTGAGGGAGGACGCCGTTCTCGAGTCCTCTGTCGAAGAGGAAGATCCTCCCCCACGGGAAGACATGCACCACCAGTTTCTGAAGAAAGGCGAAGGCCACTTGAGCAGTGAGCGCCTGAGTCATGTAGAGCCGAACCCGACTGAGGGGGACTCGAATGCGACCGGCGACGTGAAGCACACTTTCGATGCGTTGGCCCAGCCCCGCACTGCGGTGGCTGCAGGCTTCGTGACGAACGCGCGCAGGGGCGAGCCGTTGGACACCGACCGTTATGGAAACTTGCATCCTGTGTCGCAGTTTAGTACAGACCCCCAAGACGCTCCGGAGCCGGAGGGACACAAAGACAAGGGGAAAGCTGGGCAAGGCGGGGGGCAGGCGGGGGGTGATGAGCAGGAGTCGACTGGCGACGATGTGAGTCGCGCGGAAGGCCGTGCAGGTGGCAGCGGCCAAGATGTGCGTCGCGGGGACGACGCAGGAAGCTTCGGTGGCGGTCACCGACTGCACAGTTCGGACGATAAAGTGCAGTTGTCTGTAGGAGGCGCTAGTCCTGTAGCCCCCAGTCGTGGGGCTCCTAGTCCTGCCTTCGAACTGACGCCAAAGTCTGAGTTTGACCACGATCTGGCCCTCAACTCGCTCGAGAGCGAGGGTGGGCCTCCGTCGCCTATGAAGAAGCCGGGGTCTGGCCACCCAACACGGCAGCAACTGCGCTAATTTTTTTGGGCTAATGCTTCCTGCGAATGATGACAGAAGAGCTCAACTGTCAAATTTTTTTCCGGAGCATGCAGTCTACCTAAACATCTACGATATGAGCAACGGATAGTAAGTGGCAGCCCATACGTATGTGATCACGCCGGCTTGTAATTGTTGAAGTGCTCGTATGTTGTCCCCGTTCCTGCTTGGCGAGAATATCCGCGGCATCTGGCACACGGGAGTCGAGGTGTTTGGAAAGGAGTACTTCTTTGGTGGCGGTATTTACAAGGTGCCCCCGGGGGAGTTGGCGGCGATGCAGTTGAAGCAGCGACGGTTTCTGGGAACTACGAGACTGAGTCAGTACGATTTCGAGACTTTCCTCGTGGACCTCAAACCTTTGTTTAATCATACAACCTACAACTTACTTACCTGGAATTGTAATCATTTCTCCGATATGGTAATAGCACGACCGGTCGATCCAACACGTGGGCTCGGCGGTCCAACACGTGGGCTCGGCGGTCCAATACCTGGGGTCAGTGCAATACCTGGGGTCAGTGCAATACCTGGGGTCCAATACCTGGGGTCAGTCCGATTATAGTGAGGTGAGGTACCCCAGTCACTTTCCTGGAGCAAACCTCTTTGTCAAGAAGGAACCACGCCTCTTTGCTTAGTTGATGAGATTTCTCGTTGGACGAGGCATCGACCCTGAAATTGTCAACCTGGGCTCCAAAGTTCAAAAGACCTTCATGGGCAGGTGTTTGGCCAACTGTCTGATGGCGGTGCAGCCGCAGGATACAAGTACGATTCTCTGACGTGGCCCTGGCTCTGCCCTCTGCCTCTGCCCTCTGGCTCCGCTCTATGCCTCTGTTCTCCGGCTCTGCTCTGTGGCTCTGCTCTCCGGCTCTTTTATGACACTGTCGCGAAAACCAGTCCGGTCGCGAGACCCTATCCTGTCGCGATGGCCGGCGCGAGGAGACCTAGCGGCATGAGATCTAGCGGCGTGAGACCTAGCGGCGTGTGCAGTATTCTCTGGTGTAGGAACGAGTGAAACGCAAGGAGTGCAGCGAAGCGTGCGTGGTTGTGGGCAGCACTGAGTTGATTTTTCAGTGAGTCGAGTGGACCAGAACTTGGTGCGTGCGGAAGCGAGCCGGGGCGCACGGCAGGGCACGGCACGGTCGGTCTCTTTAACAGTTCAGCGCAAAGTCGGTCGGCGCTGGGTTGATCGCCGGCGGATTTAACATAAAAGCAGTTTTGGTGGAGTCCAGTGGTTGAGGTTTGCTGGCTGGGTGAGCCGCAAGCGTTGATGATTGCGGTTCACAAGAACTTCTCCGCCCAGCCTGCCTTCCGCCCGGCCCTTTGCTATAGCAACTGTACCAGGGGACAATGTGCACCAGGGGGGGGGACTTAAACCAGCCGGGGTCTCAACGAGCGAGACATGCTAAGACATTGCCCACGAACATACGGTCGCAGTTGAAGGGTTGTACCTCGTTGGTCCGTGCCCGTCCACCCCGGCACGCCGCATCTTCCTGCTTGCGTTTTCCTGTTGCTTTTGTTCTTGGCCAACTCCGGGCTCTGGCACCGAGTGCTTTGAACCCGCTTCCGAGGGGG